TCAAAAGAGTTTTATTTTATTTTTTCAGTTGACTGATTTCCTCTTCGACATCCAAGAGGCCTGGTGCCGGAAAACTGTAGTCTTCTGTGTGTGCTCCCAGCTTGATAACCATGCCTCCTTCCTGTCGTGGAATGACAAAATGGCGTAACCGCCATCATGCTCAATTTTATATTTTTAGCATATTCGAGTTCTGTATCCTACACCCAAATAAACTCATAATTTCAGAAGAATATATTGAAAATGAAAAAGTGACGTTAGTCATACATTTTTTGAAAAAAAAAACAAGGAACATTTTTGACTGTTTGTACGCAAAAGTGTCGTCCACCATATAAAAGTGCTGAAAAATAAAAGCTGTTTTAAGCCTCAAGTGATGCGAGGTTAAACAATTATCTGTTTTCTGAACAATTAGTTAAATGGATTTACGTCACTTTGTCACTGCACCTCTCGATCAATTCACGCTTATTTGTAAGAAGATTACCATCCAGTTCTCTGCACATATCGGTTTGTGGCACATAGCCTTTGCGCAACTTCTCCTAGAACTTTCGCCTCATGATCTCGGTCTGGACTAGTTCTCTAATGATGCTGTTTTCATAGCTAAGGCACAAAAGCTTCGCGAAATTCCGAGAAAAAAAGGAGCATACCTCTACTCTCGTTGTATTGGAGATAAGATCATTGGTTGATCAAATTTATCAACATGTCATTTGATATGAATATGAAAAAAATCATTCCCACTACACGATGCATTCACCGGTAAAATATAATGGAAACTATCTAGGGGAATTTACGTATTCTCGCCAATCTAAGCAGCGTTTGCACTTCTACTAGCATTTTCTCAGCGTCACGCACATATATGATGTGTCTGTTTGTTTACATTCATCTGCTGCTTGCTTCTCTATCCATTCCAATCGACAGAATTTTTCAAAACGTTTTGAAAGCGTTTTTACAACGCTCCAAACTTCTCAGGTGAGTGTGACTATTGTCGGCAACCTCTTTTTCTTCGGCAACCTTCCCATTAGAACTGCGTGTTAACCAGCTGTTCTATTATCGGCAACTCGAAATCAACCTCATTTTGTAGTGCGTATGCTTTATTTGAAGAAAAATGTAGCATTACTGGATTGCTCGATCGTTCAAATATAATCAGATTGAAGCTGAAAGGCTAAACAATCGTTTGGACACATTCAGGGAAGTGCGTTGATGGGAAAACATAGTGAAATTAACGTTTAAATTTTGGTTGCCGAAAACAGTCAATGGGTGCCGAAGCCAACATTTACCCTACCTACCATATGCGTGATATTGTTTGCACCATTAAGCAATGTCAAAATTTAAAAAAATTCTCAAAAATTTCGTTTTCGAGTTTTTTTTTTAATTTATTCAAAGGGGGGATGTTTCTCAGAGTCTTAAACTATGTTCATCGTCGAATGAGTTTTCACTTGCTGCAATAATGGCCTCCACACGCTTCCGGAAGGCACGGCAGGTTCTAATAATGTTGTCTGGATCAATTTCTCTCCAGGTACGGGTCAATGTTTGTTTGAGGCTTGCTGTACTCGGGTGACATTTAGAACAGGCCTTGGCCTTCATGACGCGCCATATCGAGTAATCCAGCGGATTAAGATCGGGGCTGGATGGCGGCCATATATCCTTCGCCCAGAACGGAAGATGTTCCTGCAACCACTTCTGAATGCGGTTCGAGGTGTGACACGGAGCCCCATCTTGTTGAAATACAACATTTGGCTCCGGATCGTACTGTTCTTTGATCCACGGAAGAACATACTTACTTAAAATCCCGATGTAAACCTCCGTGTTGACCTTGTGACCTTGGTGACCTGGAATGAACACCGGGTCAATTTTTTTGCCATCGGAAGCCACCAATAACACCAACACCATAACGCTAGCAGGAGACTTGGCCAGATACACGTTCTTGTGCTCGTCGGCCACGTCTTTTACCGGAAGAGAACTAATATACCGGTCGGTTCTGGAATTTGATACGGGATAGACGGTAAACATGCTCTCGTCGGCGAACAGGATTACCGGATTTTTTCGCTTAGGGAAGTTCAAAATTTTCAAGCTCACGGTTGGTAATCATGTGAGTTTTTTCCGTGCCCTCGACTTCGCCTCGCAATCTTCCTTTACGATCTTAGTCACTGATCCCGTGTTCCTTTGCCATTTTCCTTATTGAACGCACTGGATTTACCCGAATCTTCCTTTTGATAGCAGCGATAACCCTCGGAACCCGAGCTGACCTCGGACGACCTGTGGCCACCTGTACGGATAGTTGTCCTTTCTTTTCTCGGTCTAAAACCCTTTTGACGGTCCACTGGGACACTCCCATGGCGATTGAAATGTCTTTTTGCGACATTTGCGCGTGGGACAAATCACGAATACGCTGCCACTTCGTCATGGTGCAACTGTCAAACTAAGTAAATCATTTTCTTTTATACACAGCCTACTACCATAGAGGTAACTCTAAGACAAGTAGCTCCCGAAGAAACGTGCTCAACTTTTTGGCTCACCTCTGGTACTATCTTCGGTCCCAAGCTTGTCGAATCACCCCTCGAAACATAGGTAAAACCAATAACCCCTCATTTTATCTGTCAAACTTTCATAGCGAATCAAAACAAACATTGCGTAGTACTAGAATTTCGACTAGAATAGGGTACGTTAATCATTTGCTTGGGACCAATAGGCTACTAAAGTGGTGAGCCAATTTAAAATCGTTAGTTTCGTATTGATTGTTGCTACTACGGTATGAGCTATAGGTTAAGTGCATGCAAAGAAAACCAAGGCATTGTATGCACAGGTGAAACGGGAACCTTATTTGTACGATGGTGCAAACATTATCACGCTACGGTATCTTTTCAAGTGAATATATCTGGAATTTAAGTTGCGTTGATTTCTAAAATTCGAAATTATTTTGCGCAACGAGTGACTTGAAAATGCAGTAGGCAAATGTAGGTGGCTGGTGATAACTCGTTTTTGTATTTTGGCAGTCTCATTTTAAATCAATAGCCATTTTACGTCACCTGCGTGACTCTCAAAATCAATCGATATAGTGTTGTTGCGGTTTTTCCTTATGAAAATATTAAAATTATTTTTGAAAAGTACTTACAATGGCAGTGGATAGTTAGAATCTTACTTCATGATTCCGTGACATTGACCCACATTGATCGATTCTTCTCATCGACTCTCTTTTTCGTTAATAACTTGGCTGCATTAATATTTCGGGCTTATTTTTCTACATAGTATGTTAAATTTTGAATTGAACGATAAGAACAGCTGAACATGTGTTTGGAACCGAGTTATCTAGAAAAGGGAGAGTCGATGAAGAGAATCGATCAATGTAGATCAATTGGTCTATTTGATAAGTGACGCGAGAATTGATAAATATTTATAATTCGGTTTCGGATAACAACAGTTTGATTTCACCATCTATATGGCTCTTATCCATTTACATTTGAACGATTACGATTACGAACTCATTAAATACGTGATAATCTAGCCAGCGCTGCTGTTTGATTGGAAGTTTCGATAAATTATCAGTGACATATAAAAGACAATATGATTTGGGGTAGGGCTTATCGTATGTGAAAATAGCTTCGGAATGTGTTTCGGTAGAGCTACGACCTTCAAACTTTTGGTATCCATATGGAATATATGTACATCGTACACGCTCAAAATGGAGATATTCATGCTTGTTTTCAAGCAACTCCGCAATGATTATTCAGGCTAAAAATTGAAGATTAGCGCTGAGGTAGAGAATATAAAAAGAGAATTAAAATCAACGCGCACCTGATGTTTTTGAACGGATGGTGTTGCAGATGGAAAACGGAACGTGAAGGGGGCAAATAAACATCGAGTAGGGTGATTACGATGGGCTGGGCACGTCGTAAGGATGTCGGACAACAGCCCGGTGAAAATGGTTCTCGATAACGAAACGAAGAGGCGCGCAGTCATCGATCGAGTGTAATTGAGACAACTTCTGTGTACATCAAACGACACTCAGGGTATCGTAAACAGTCAGATCATTATAAAAGAAGCTTATTCAAAGACGCAAGAGTAAACTGTCGCAAAGGTATCCACTCATGTAGCCAAAAAATGTTCAAAATTCTTCAAACTAGACAAAACTACCAACACACCGTTTCGAAAAAACATAATGCGCTTTATTTTTTGGTTTTAAGTACTTACACAAAAAATATCAAATCTTTATACTGCTGATAATTTAATTTAATTTAAAAAGCCTAGAGTACTTGCTTGTAGTTCTTTTTTTCTTCTCATCTTCTCCTTAAAAACTTCAGTTTTCTTTTATACCAACACATTCGTTTCTTTTTTGTTTTTCTCAGTTTTAGACACCATCGACAGCGCAACCATCCTTTCTTCGGTAAGACCTCTCTTGCTCGCTCTTGTCCGTTCTCTCTGTCGCTACCACTCACGCATCCTCGCAATTTCCGCAATTAACCGATTGCTACTATCCGGGTCTTTCCGTGTCTGCTTGCCCTTTCCCGCTTTAGCTTGATTTCTTTTAGTTCTGCACACACCGTTCATCACTTGTTTAGTTTTCTCTCGCTTAGGAAACCTTGGATACATAATTTAAGGAAAAAAACGAATAGTTTAATAATTTGCTTTATACATGTCCTCTGCTAGCTTATTCTTCATCTGGTTCTCTCTACCTCGTTCAATTTCTTACTTCTTCTCGGAGTATCGTAAGCGCAATGTGATTCGTTGACTTCATTTATCCGCAGTGGTTTTAGTTTTGTTTGCGATTTTTTGTTCGAATTAGTAAAGGGAGGCTTGGTTGTGTGTGAATGTGTGTGTGTGTGTATTTGTGTGATTTTAATATAAAATACACGAGAGGGTGCTGGCAGTGTGTGTGTATGTATCCTTGTACGTGGGTGTGTTGTGTTAAGGTGGATTCAAGGTACGAAACATGGCAAAAACTTCGATTACAGAGCCAGATCAGCCGAAACGAACCGAAAAATATACAACACTGAAAGGCTTTTCGTATCCTCGAGATAACATTTGGGGAAATATTTGTTTTTTTTTCGTACAGGAATGAGGGAGATATATCCAACAAAAGCACAGGTATTAGAGGATTCTCAATCACAACGATCACATTTAATAGAGGTTATGCTTCTTCTTTTTTTTATCTCGATTATTTTTGTGTTACAAGAGGAGTATATTGACTAAAGGGCCTTTAGAAGTGTATGTTTTGTGCCTGCACTGACGATACTCGTGGCGTCGCGGAGTACTGCGGGGATCCGGACGCCCTTTGCCATCGGTAATGATACTACTCTGGTACAATTTACAGTTTGCTCAATTCTCATTCTGCTCTCACTTGCTTTCTCTGTATACATAATTTGCTTTCTTACGCTAAACCATCACTAAGGTGAAACCGATCGAGAAAGGAAGATTTGTTCGTTTTTTTTTCTTCGAAGGGAGTTATTGAGTGAAATGAAACCAAAGAGATAAAACAATAAAAAAAATTATAGGTTTATTTGGGTTCTACGTTTCTTCTTGTCTTCTACTAGTCACTTTGTACAGTGTGGGGATGTACATCATATTTCTGATAGGTTTTCATTTTCTGTTTGACCGTTGTAGGTTGTAGTGAGTGTGTTGTTTGTATGTAGTCCAATTTAATCCAGCTTTTTTATGTTTGCCTCTGATGCGTTTTTATTCCAATTCAATATTTGCGATCAGACTCTGCTTGACGCGGTATTAGCTTTGCCGTTTATTGTAATTTACAATGTGATCATCTTATAGTAAAATTAAACAGCAGTATCGATATTACAGTGAGAATCATCCAGCCCTTGTAATGGTAGTGTAGCGTGATCGATGTGCTCGTGTCGCCGCATTTTCCTGAAAGTGGAAGGTGTACTTTAGTATATATGACGGATTTCAGTAATTTTTGGAATGTAGAATTTCTATTATGCCGGACCTAAACTCTGTACAGTTCCTAATCCACCGGATTCAATAATTTTTTAAATATTGCTTATCTTTTTTTGACGTAGAGTACGTCTTAGGGGAAGGTACGGGGGGTAAATCGAAAAGGTGTTAGGTTTTGAACGGTTATAACTTTGTCATTTATTGATGAAATTAAAATATGAATACACCAAGCGATAGGAAATAACCATACAATTCTTCTGAAATGTATACATTTGGAATATTCTATAAAAAAACCTTTGAAAAATGTATAAAATAAAAGTGATAATTTTATCACTGCTTTCGAGAAAAATACGTTTTCCCTAACCCAGTCGTCATAATCGAGTACCAGTTGGTTGTGCATCGATCTGCTTGAACCTGTAAATTTATAAAACAGCGTTGCTATCGGGCCTCCGCTCATGTTGGCAGCAAACGGCGGTAAGCGGATCGTCCAAGGTACCAGTAGCAAGCAGTAGCTCGCCAGCGGTGGAAATTTTCTCTCTCTCTCCGCCGTTGTGCAGCAAAACTTCCTCGCAACGGGCGGCATAATTATTAGATCATTTTAACAATCAGCTGTGGTGTAGAAGGATACTCACTTCTGCGGTTCCGACTGGCGGTTTCATTCAATAATGTCACAAGTTGAAATTGTTCACTTTTGAGATATTGATGACAAATGACGGCAAATAGTGTGAAATTTCATCCCTCAAAATTCCATTTTGAAATTTGTGATAAATCAAAAATGATAGGTAGATATGCTCTTGCTACTTTTTCAAAAAAGCCAAAGTAGCATCAAAGGAACATTTTGAGTTGTGCTTATGTTGCTTATGGTTACAACACAGACAAACAGACATAACACATTGAATATTTCTCACTGTAAAACATCGTCGCTAAAACATTACCGCCATTTGTTGAGTACACTGTGGTGGGTAGTACGCTGAACAGATGGCGGTAGTGTGTAAACGTCAAACGCAAGGGAATTCACTATGAGCGCCACAGGTGGCAGTACTACCAACTGAGATACTTTTAAATTGACTGTTAAATGCTTGTTCGATGAACAACTTATGAGTGTTATGTCTGTTTGTCTGCGGTTACAGCTCAAAAAATATCCAAGTTTTGCATAACAAATAGGCGCACCCCAAATAAAAAGCAGCAAAAATCGTTGATCTGATATTTGATACAATGAATGAAACACCCTCGATTCAGTCCAATGAACATGAATAGATTCATAAAATTGAAACTTAAAACAGAAATGCAGAAGGTTTTTTGAAAATTCACTGATTTTGAGTTTTGCCAGTATTGCACGAATCTATATATATATATAGTATACATCTCTCTTTCTCATTTGTGGAGAATTGATCGGATTATGATGAGCAGGGTGACCAGTGAACCGGGAAATAGGGAAAAAGCAGGGAATTCGAAGTCACCGGGAAAAAAACCCGTGATTTTCGATGACAAATCGGGATATAATTTAGCTAATCTATTTTCAGCAAAAGAATAAGATTTTGGTCCTCTGAAAAATTTTAAGACTCTTGGACCAGACTAGATATTTTGTTTCAAAAAGATTTTAAGTTTTAGAATTAATGTCATGTTTTTCAGAGAAGATTAGAGGTAGTTTTAGAAAGAGCTCTTAGAGATTTTAGACTTTCACTCCAAGCCACTTGTGTTGTGTCAGTTCAGATTCAGCCAGCGTTGCCAGTATTCCAGATTTATCTGGAATTTCCAGATTTTTAGTCGTTTTGCTAGATACACCGACAGTCCACGGTTTTCTTTAAATATGTTCCAGATTTTCCCAGATTTTTTAAACGTGTTGCATTAAAAATATCACTGCAATTGATTTACACTCTAATAAAAAAAAATAAAAAGCCAAACTTGGTAGGGTAAATTATGGCTTCGGCACCCATTGACTATTTTCGGCAACCGACATTGAAACGTTAATTTCACTGTATTTTCCCATCAAAACTCTTCGCTGAATGTATTAAGCCGATTCCTTACCTTTTCAGCTTCAATCTGATTACATTTTTACGACTGTGCAGTCCTGTTATGCCATATTTTTCTTTAAATTAAACATACACACTACAAAATACGGCTGATTTCGAGTTGCCGATAATAGAACAGCTGGTTAACACGCAGTTCAAATGGAAAGGGTGCCGAAGAAAAAGAGACTGCCGACAATAGTCACACTCACCTGAGAAGTTTGGATCGTTGTAAAAACATGTTCAACCCGTTTTGATCAATTCTGTCGATTGGAATTGGTAGAACAGCAAGCAGCAGATAAATGTCAACAAACAAACCTGTCATGTATGTGTGTGACGCTGAGAAATCGCTAATAGAAGTTCGGACGCTGCTTAGATTGACGAGAATACGTAAATTCCCCTACTTCAATTTTAAAAGACGTTGGACATTTTTGGAATTTTAAGGTAATTCTGAAAATAGTTCACAGTTAAGTGTGAGGCGACTTCTTTGTGAAATCAAATCAAACTAATTCTGAATAGAATTACATCCATCTTTGTGGGCCAGATTCCAGATTTTTAGTCGTTTTGCTAGATACACCGATAGTCCACGGTTTTCTTTAAATATGTTCCAGATTTTCCCAGATTTTTTAAACGTGTTGCATTAAAAATATCACTGCAATTGATTTACACTCTAATAAAAAAAAATAAAAAGCCAAACTTGGTAGGGTAAATTATGGCTTCGGCACCCATTGACTATTTTCGGCAACCGACATTGAAACGTTAATTTCACTGTATTTTCCCATCAAAACTCTTCGCTGAATGTATTAAGCCGATTCCTTACCTTTTCAGCTTCAATCTGATTACATTTTTACGACTGTGCAGTCCTGTTATGCCATATTTTTCTTTAAATTAAACATACACACTACAAAATACGGCTGATTTCGAGTTGCCGATAATAGAACAGCTGGTTAACACGCAGTTCAAATGGAAAGGGTGCCGAAGAAAAAGAGACTGCCGACAATAGTCACACTCACCTGAGAAGTTTGGATCGTTGTAAAAACATGTTCAACCCGTTTTGATCAATTCTGTCGATTGGAATTGGTAGAACAGCAAGCAGCAGATAAATGTCAACAAACAAACCTGTCATGTATGTGTGTGACGCTGAGAAATCGCTAATAGAAGTTCGGACGCTGCTTAGATTGACGAGAATACGTAAATTCCCCTACTTCAATTTTAAAAGACGTTGGACATTTTTGGAATTTTAAGGTAATTCTGAAAATAGTTCACAGTTAAGTGTGAGGCGACTTCTTTGTGAAATCAAATCAAACTAATTCTGAATAGAATTACATCCATCTTTGTGGGCCAGATTCCAGATTTTTAGTCGTTTTGCTAGATACACCGATAGTCCACGGTTTTCTTTAAATATGTTCCAGATTTTCCCAGATTTTTTAAACGTGTTGCATTAAAAATATCACTGCAATTGATTTACACTCTAATAAAAAAAAATAAAAAGCCAAACTTGGTACTTCAATTTTAAAAGACGTTGGACATTATTGGAATTTTAAGGTAATTCTGAAAATAGTTCACAGTTAAGTGTGAGGCGACTTCTTTGTGAAATCAAATCAAACTAATTCTGAATAGAATTACATCCATCTTTGTGGGCTTCGGGGTCGTGCGGCGTCACCCATGATTTATGCGTATTGTGAGTTCCACGTAGTGAGGGTTCGATTCCCACTCCAGGCGGTGTAAATTTTGGCAACCCGAAAATTTCCCTACTGGTCTACTGGGTGTGGTGTGTTGTCCGTTGTCTAGTGTTAAATATTCAGTCTGTGCAATCTCTGGTTGAAGACGGTGTCAATTGTCTTGTCAACTCTGAGACAATTGCATGGAGATTTTGCCAATAAAGGAAATACAATCCGGAAGAGAAATCTAGATAGAGCTGGAAGTAGGGCGTAACAGCTTGATGAAATTTGAGGAGTATGCTGATACGAATCGTTAGAATAATTTCAATGGAATTCTGTCCAATGTTTCTATGGAGATTAATTTTAATAAAATTTTAAGCGCGATTTCTGTGAGACCATTTTGGCAAAGTACTTGAGTACTTAGGTAATACTGAAAAGGATTTCAAAACAATTCTGAACTTACTTACAAAGCAGTTTAAAGGGAATTATCGGATAAGTCTGAGAAGAGTGTGACGGTCATTCTGAAGAGTGTACCAAGGAAATTGTTAAGAATATTTTAAGAATTTCTTAGAGAAAAATGGACACAAAATTGAGCCAATTTTTGGGAATTATTACCAGTTTAAGGGATTTGTGGAATTGGAGATCGTAGATTACTGGAAAAGTTTAGATATTTTCAAGATTATTTTAGGGGAATATAGAAAAGAAATATGATGGAATTCTAGGATGATTCAAATTGAACCAAAAAAAAAAAAGGCGAAGATATCCTGTGAAGAGTTTCAAGTAAATTCATACTAACAAAAAAAAACTACAAGGGACAGCCCAATGGGGTTGTACGAACAGTTGACGTAGGATTACGCTCACATATGTTAACGCCAATCTTATATAGTGGTTGCTGACACGTGATTGGTTAGTTGCACGTGGTAGTAGCTTCTAAAATTTTCCATTGACAAAATGAACCATTAAGTCCAGGCTATTTTTCACATAGATGGCGCTGTTCCATTGGTAATAAGTAATAAAATTCTGAGACCTCCACGGATACGGTGAGCTAGTTCGAGCTTCGACATGACGATAACGTTCTTGATGACGGTGGCCCACAATGTTTTCTCACGATAAGCAACTGTACCCAGGCAGTCTTGGCTGCAAGCTTCTTGTGGAGCCTTTCGAACACTTCTGAAGTTCGAAAGGAAATGCGATAACGGCTTGATTCGTTTGGAACCAACTATGTGATGTCTTTGTTAGTAAATACACCTTATAGTGGAAAATTTTGATGCTACAAATTTTAGTTAAATTTCTTAGTTGTTTA